CTCATCGATAAATGGATCAATACAGATCTCTTGAGTGATTTTCTAAAGATGGTTGAATCTGGGCAAAGTGAGCGTATCCTATTCTGCACCTGAGGAATGATGGACATCTTCTGGCGCAGGTCATGGAGGCCGATCTCAGAGGTGAGAACCCCATCGATGTAGATCTCTCCCTCAGGCTCTGCCAGACGGAACAGAGCTGAGACCAGGGAGCTTTTCCCAGCACCTGTTCTCCCAACGATACCAACCTGACACCCAGAGGGGACAGAACATCAGCTTAGCTTTAACAAGAAGAAAGAAATCCAATTTAAAATCTGTATCTGATGACAAACATGTCTGACCTTCTCTTTGGGTCTGAACATCACTTTCAGGTCCTGCAGCACCTTCGGTCCGTCGCTGCCATAGGAGAAGCTGACCTGGTCAAAGGTCACCAGCCCTTGTCTCGGCCAATCAGGAGGAGGGCGCTTCTGGGTTTCCCAGGGTGCTTCACTCTCCAGCTCAGTGTATTCCACTGCTCTCTCCACTGACGTCATCTGAAGACAGGAACATGTATATGACAACTTAGACTGAAGCAAGGAACCAGGAGATCAAATCAACCCTCACCACTGACGTTAGAATAAAAACATACACACACACACACATATATTTCATTCATATTAATATTTTTCAAGCATCACCACAAAATAAAAAAGAAAGAAAGTGAATATCGTACCATGTTCTCCACCTCTGTACTCTGCCTGATGCCCCACTGGAACATGCCGATCAGTGTGACCGAGTACGTCAGAACCAAACCCACAGAGCCAGCTTCCAGCTCTGTGACGAACAAGAAAGAAAAAATATTTTTTATTTCTATTCATCTGCACATGAACCCAAATTAGGCAGTTGGTGGATGACAGTACAAAACCATTGTTTAGTGTTAGAAGGTTAGAAATGTGCCTTACGGTCTCTGAGCAGCAGGCAGCCAAACATGACCAGGATAACAAAGATGGCGCAAATGCCATCGAGACGGATAGCGAACCAGCGAGAGATGGTCAGGAACAGGAACCAGGACTCTGTTCAGGGTGAGGACAGATATGTTACAGAGGCTGGAGACACGCGAGAGCCTCTCACTGATGAAAAGTGTTGAGATGGAGGGAAACCTGAGTGGAGGTCCTGATGAGCATCAAACACATCCTGCAACCTCTGCTCTGCTCCAAAGGCTCGGATCGTCCACAGACCATTAAGACACGAGGACAGATGGGAGAAGACGGGACTCCGAGCTGCAGGAGAGACAACACAGGGAGCTTGAGTTTATAGTTTTATTACTAAATATTTTTATCGAGACTTGAAAAAGCCCTTCAACATCATCCCTCTGAACATGGAAACTAAAGAAGTCTTTGTGCTTTGCTGCACACACTGTTGCATTGTGGGACACTCACTGGTGGCCTCGAGGCGTTTGATGTCTCTGGAGGTCTGCAGGAAGTAGCGGCGGAGGTAGAGGAAGATGATCAGCAGGGGCACCACAGGGATGAGGATCCAGGGGAGCACCGCCACCGCCACACCGATCACCCCGACAATCTGCAAGAACACCTGCTCCGAGAAGAAACAGAATCATTCACACAGTCACTGAAACTGAAATCCATGAAACATTTCTGCTTTTCATCGAGCTGTCGTCTTTCTGCCTTTCACTTGTGTTTACGTGCAACATGAAGCGTCCAGCAGAGAGCGGCAGAGAGAGTCTTAACCAACTTAACACAATCAATGGGAACTGTAAATACTTGTGGTTCATTGTGAACCTGTAGCGTGACACTGTGATGAGATCTGTCCTCACCTGAACAAAATCCACAAAGGTCCACGGCATGTTGGAGTCCAGCTGACCTATGTCCTTCGAAAACCTGTTGAGAACCCGTCCTGAGGAGACAAACATCACCAACATGAGAAACACATGTCACAGAGGAGAAGCATCATTATTAGAGAGAGAACAGAGGAGCTGTCTCTTTCTGCTAAATTAACCCACGTCCCCACTTTCACTCACCAATGGGATTTGTGTCAAAGAAGCGCACAGGCGCTCGGAGTATGGCCTTGAACATGTGGTTGTGCAGAGCCTGTGCACTCTTCACCAGAATGTTGAACATGAACAGATTCCTGGCGAAGCCGAGGATGAGGGTGGCCCCGGTCAGACCTGTGAAAGCAGCAGCACATCGTCCTTCACCTCACTGACGAATCACACGGCTGCCACAGTGCAGGACACATGTTGAGCCCCGTGAGGAGCAGCACGTGTTATTTTACCTGCATAGATGCCGAGGTAGAAATTTACATCCAGCTCTGCCGTGGCGTTTTGTCCGTTTATGATGCCCGTGCTGTTAGCGTTTAGGTCCTCTTGTTTATCAGCCCTGATCAGAAAAAACAATTAAACACGTGGAAAAAAAACAAGCATAAAATGACTTGTGAGATTTTTATTTTATACTGACCAGTATGCCAGCCACCAGTCCTGCATGATGTACGCCACCTAGGAGAGAAATAAAGAAACACAGGCAATGTTTGTATGTGCACAGCTACAATAAATAATAATGTACGAAGTGAAATAAAACTGTACCTGAGCCAAAATGTTGATCAGTAGGACGAAAACTACAAACACGACGTGGGCTCCAGCTTTTAGATATTTGACGTACAGGCTCACTGCAATGGTTCCCTGAGATCGACTCTCCTCTGCCACCGTCTGCACAGTCTCCGCCTGTCGGGAGGACGGACAAACATCGTGATCGACCCTAACCCTAACCCATTTTAGAAGACTGCCACAGGGAGAGAGTGAGTGTGAGCAGCCATGAAATCCCCTCCCTGACTGTATCTCCATAATAAACCATCAAACGCAGCCGTGCTCTGCAGAAACAATCGCAGAATATTTGAGTGGAAAAGTTTCCAGAGAAGAGACGATGCACAAACCGGTAACTGGTCGCCGTCTTTGATCGAATGGATAGAGGAGGTCCGAGAGCGCACCGAGTTCTGGGACAGAGTTCTGCTCCTGCTGTAGACGTCTTGAGGACCCTGCTGCTCCTCCTCCTCCGTCTTCAGCAGGGAGGTGAAGTCCACTCCAGACTGCTGCAGCTCTGTGTACGTCCCTTTGGCCACCATGAAACCCTGACACACACACACACGGACACACACAGTAAGAACACACTAAAATCCTCCTGATAACATGTACAAGGTGTGATGTTCTACAAACAAAACTGTATTTGTCCTGTGGCTGAAAATAAAGAAGCAGTAAGGGTTTTATTTCCCTGGAATAAATAAAACCCCTGCGTGAAAAACCCTGCATATTTATTTCTTAATGTAATATGTGAAATGTGACCAGTTGACCTGAAGATGGCGCTATAGGAAAGCTCTATTAAAATCTAATTAACGCTCATGACAACCTTACAGAGAGAAGAAACCTCTGTGATGAGGCAAAACATCTTAAAGCAAGTCCTGATACCAAATTACACACATGCAGGTTCTGAGGAGATCTCGTAAACTTTTCTTAAATACAGCGATTATCCTAAATTTACATTTACGCCAATGAATCAGGGACAGTTGTATTAGTTACAAACTAAAAAAGGTGAGAACAGATTGTGATGATGCGTCATGAGTTCAGGGCTTCAGAACGACAACAACAGAGGAGCGGGGATTCAACATCAGATAAATGAAAAATTAAAGATTCTGAACTGAGGTGGTCGAGGGGATGAGACAGTCACAGGAAGGATGAGACTTTATACAGCAGATGATGTTACACTGACAGGTGTTACAACAAAGAAGTTCCCCCGGAAACAGACCTGAATAAAGACCCTGACGCAGCAGTTGGAGAGAAAGAATTTTCTATAAAAACAAATAAGTTGAAAAGCCAAAATTAAAAAAAAGAAAGAAAATTATTTCAGTTGATTATTGTGGAAAATTCAAATCTAAAAATTTAACAGTAAATACACAAATTAAAAAGGTATTATAAATGTGTGCTGTCCACTTTGACACGTTGTGTAACGTCTGTGTGTTTGGAATGTGTAGAGACACAAACCTCCTTGAGGACCAGGATCTCATCGGCTTTCTGCAGGTACTGCAGCTGGTGGGTGACCAGGATCCGGGGCTTGTTCTTCAGCAGGCCACAGATGCACCTGATTCGTGGACACAGAGGAAAGACGATGGACTCAGATTCATCTAGAACGACAGACCTGTGGTTGCACGTCTCGTCTAATCAGTGCAGTTTCAGTCTACACACATTTATTGTTCCAGACCCTCTCTGGAGTTTTTACTTCTCACACACAGACCCTCTGGAGAATGTCCGGATGTTCTGCAGGGTTCAGTTCATATCTGAAAGCAGCTCAATTTCAATCTTTCGCTCTTTCAAGTCCTTATTTCAGCTTTTATGTAACGCTCTGTGTTTTCCAGAGGAAGAGTGACAGGAAGAAAGGGACCAAGTTGAATTGTCAGACCCTGGCAGCACCGCACCTCTTCCTGGCTCAGTTCTTTAAACATTCAGCTCTGGCTCACTTGAGTTACGACACAGTTCAAATCCCAGAGCTGAACCTGAAAACACTGAGTTTACTTCTGAGGTCACTCACTGTTCGAAGAGGTGTCTCCCGACCTCAGCGTCCACAGCACTCAACGGATCATCCAGGAGGTAAACATCCGCCTCCTGATACACAGCCCTGAAAACACACACACACATTGTTTTATCAAACCAGGGACATTCCAGTCACAAGATTTCAACAAGCAGAGGGGTAGGGTCAGTTCTGCGGGTTCTTCTACCTCGCCAGGTTGACACGAGCTTTCTGCCCCCCGCTGAGCGTGGCTCCTCGGTCTCCGATCAGAGTCAGGTCTCCCTCTGGAAGCAGCTCCAGGTCCTGCACAACAGAACAGCACGAAATCACCCAGACACCAAAACAGACGAGGGATTCTTAAATGTGTATAAACACCAAATCTCCCAGATCATGGTGAGAATGCTGTGACGTGATAAAGCCATGTTCTCTGGCCAGGTTCACTGGAAACATAAGAGGAACCTGACCACAAGAGTCTTCTCCTTATGATGTAAAGGTGTATTTACTCGTTACTTTAATAAAAAGTAATAAGAATTCTAGTTTAGTCCTTTGAGAGGTGTGTTTGATGATGTGTCAAGTGGACAGTGAATTGAAAGCTGACAGAGGCCATTTTGTGAGCGCATATAAAAAATGTTCCTGGTTTAAGTTATATGACGGAGTCGTATATTCCTCTCTGTCTGTCGGGGCTGACGGGTTCATCTCTTTTTATTTGGTCCCTCCAGGCTCACGTGGTTGCTCAACGTAAAATACAAGAATCCTGATGAGTATGAATTGTGATTTGACTGAACTCTCGGTATCTCTCCAGTAAATGAGTTAATTGTTCACGTGGTTAAATCATCTGAAAACAGAAGCGTGATGAACTGTGAAACAGAACGTTCTCCACACCTGATCCATAAAACACCTCGGGAGCACCGAATCACAGACCAGTTCGTAACTTCTAACCCACTGAATAACAAATGTTTATGGCTGCAATGAAAGCATTTGATGGACTCCCCTGTCTTTATCTTATCTCATTTGATGCGCTGCAGTCTGTTCACGCTGTCTCTACCGTTCCACAATGAGACGGCTTGTAGAAAGAAAATGTCTTATCTGTATTCTGTGGTGTTTGTAATTAAAAACGTTCCCTTCTGTTCACAAAATGTTCTGCATTTTTATCTGTTGTGTTATCTGTTGAACCATCTGTCATTCGTCTGAAGTATGAAATCATTTTAGAAGCTTTAATTTCTACGTATGAGTCAATTCTTTATCTATTCTAAGACATAAACAAACCGTCTCTCACCCTCTTCAGAGCGCAGGCTTTCAGGACTCTCTCATACTTCTGCGAGTTTATCTCTTTCCCAAACAGGATGTTGCTGCGGATGGTTCCAGGAAACACCCAGGGCTGCTGGGAAGCGTACGTCAGCTTACCGTTGACCTTCAGCAAGCCCTTTTCAACAGGCAGCTCTCCGAGGATGGAGCACAGCAGTGACGACTGAATGAGACGTGAAGAAATGACGAGAGGAAGACATGAGCTCACACAACTCAAACTCCAACATTTTCCTACAAGTCACCGCCGCGTTTTCCCTCTGCCTGAAACGATAACACGTGATAACTGACCTTTCCAGCTCCCACCGGTCCAATTACAGCCAACAGCTGATTTGAGTTCACAGTGAAGGAGACGTTCTGCAGAGATGGAGAATCCAGACTCTGGAAGAAGCACAAAACGGATTCAAACATTAACCCAGGAACCAATGTGTTTCTTCTTTCTCTTTTAAACCCAAATAAGCAGGTTTTCTAAATGCAGGTAATTCATTCCCACTGGAAACAAACAGCAGATCCTTTTCACAGCACCCAGAGTTTCCAGTGTCACATATTGTGACAAGAGAGGCTGAAAACTGGAGAGACATTTCCTGACTATTGTATTGATAAAAATCCCAACGAGCCCCTTTCCCACTGTACGTTAACAAACTATGTGACCTTGTCCCAGTAGCAGAACAGATCCTGGATTTCCACTGATCGGTCCTTCTTGTCCTCCTGTGGCAGAGCGACGCTGCTTTTCGTGATCTCACCGAGCTGCAAGAACTCCTGGACAAGAAAATACAGAGAGCGATAGAGTCATGCGGGGAAATGGTTTCCACCGATCTCTCCTCATGCATTATGCAACACTAAAGACTTCTGCACGGCTTCTGCACAAAAATGGAGGTGGTGCCATTCTGACATTCTGATGCCGTGTGATAAAGCAGTGCTGGCAAGATAAGTCAATAACAGCATGTTACCGATTACACAGGAAGGTTTACCAGCATGTGTGTACTCTGTGTCCTCTCTCTGTCTGACGACCTCACATTTCATTCCGTATATATATTTAAAAGTTTCATTCATTATTAAAAAAAAATGGATATATAGTTTTACTCCAGAAATTCAATGTTTATTCCTTATTGTGGTCGTGGTGGTTAGTGTCGGTGGCAGGAGGGAGTCTGATTGTGTACAGGTGTACTGCGTTTGCTAATTACTCTCTCCCCTCTTTTATCAGCAGTAGCGTGCTGGGACACGACACACACACGAGCTGGAGGCAACCTGGAAAAGCCCAGCTAGACTATATATATATATGGATATATCTATATATATTCAATGTTTATTTTACCTGGATCCTGGTGACGCTGACATAGGCCTCAAACAGCCTCTCGATCGCAGCAGGGAAGAAGAGCGTGACGTTGAGTCGCACGGCGGAGTAGAGCGACACCGTCACAAACACACGCGTGGCCGACATGGTGTTTCCGAGGAGCACGTAGACGGTGAAGGTGCAGAAGAGGATGAACTTGTTGGCGCAGAAGAAGGAGGCCATGTTGAGACCTCGCAGGTACGAGCTGCTCATGATCGTGGAGATCTCCTTCCTAAAAACAACAATTGTACCGATTACATGTCTACAGAATTACCTCCCTGAGGCTTTAAAACAGCAGAACAACCCTTGAGCCGCATAAATTGTAGGAAGGAATGAACATAACTCTGCTGCTGATTTGTGACGACTGTTGCAGCAACTCATTTGTTCTCATGGAGGTTTTATTTGTGGCCTGAAGCCTATATCCACTTTATCATCATAACTGTCAACACTGACACCTGCTGTGACGCACGCGCTCGTTAATTTGCGGCGCCCTACGCAGCTTGTGAACTGAGCTGTAGGGCTCCAAGTGTTTTTATTTTCCTGAGGATGAAGCCGTCTTGTCCTCCTCCACTGCTTCGTGGCTTTCCACAGGTTTTTGTGTAGGAAGGGGAAGAGGCAGCAGGGTCATTAACGTTAGGACACGTCGTTTGCTTGTCAGTTTATTTTACAGTCAACACATTGTTTAAAGTTACTTTTCCTACAGCCAGCGGCCCGGTTGTCACACACTTCCTGAATACCATAACCATCTGTAAATATTAGTGCTGTAACTAATGAACCAATGAGTCGTGGACATTTTAGCATATTTCAATTCTTTCATCAAAAATTGCAGAGGATAAAAATGATGATTTTACCTTCTGACCTCAGAGACCAGAGCAGCAAATGGTTTCTCCCAGGCGTACATTTTGATGATCCTCATTCCAGACACCACTTCGTTCATCGTACGGATTCTGCTGTCAGTCAGGATCGCTGTCCGAGTCCTTTAAAGACATTCAGAGTCAAATATACTTTTATTGTCCCATGGGGAAATTAGTCTTGGGCCACAGAACAGTACACATTACAACAAACCACAAAAAAACAGGTTGCATGGAGTCTAACACAAGAAGAATCTTCCTATCAATCATATTTAGTTTTTATGAGGATGAAAATGTGAAATTATTTCTACTTCAGGTTATTTATAGACTCTTGAAATGTCTTTTCCCAGATGGAACCATGCTGCACGGACAGGAATGGGCTGTTTGTACGGTAAGTAGTTCATAAACAAAGATTCAGGCAGATTTACACTCTGTGACTTGAACCTTTTCCAGTACAACCTATTCATGACACCCTGGGCTCAGTGACCATGTACGAAGGCTGCAATCCGAGACAGGAGACATGTGACTTTAGCTGGAGTCGTTGAGTATGAAAGCAGGCGCAATGTTTTCAGAACATATCGCATCTACATGAGTGTTTCCACGTCATTTAATAGGATCAGGCAGAAATAATCAAAACAAACTCCTTTATTCTTTTATAACATTCAATTCATTTAGTCAGAGTGTGTGTGTGTGTGTTACCTGTACTTAGAAAAGAGCCTTCCAAACAGGGTCTGCATGGGCATCAGGAACAAGAGGACCACCATGCCTGCCAAGCACGACGGGCCGATCTCCAACCACAGCAGCCCGACAACCACAGCTGCCTGGAGGGGCCCGACCCACAGGAAGTGCAAGAAGATGGTGAGCTGTTGGAGAGAAATCACAATGATGAAGCCCAAAACAACACGGAGGTGCAGGACACAATTTATCAACGGATCTTGAGTCACAGCAATCAAAGTTTGTTCCCTGGGGGGGGGGGCCGGTGTACAGTTCTCCTCTCCCGTCATCGAGCATTAAACTGTAATGAGGGGGAAGAGTCGCCCAACAGGAACTTTCAAAACTATTCAATTCAAAGCAGCACAGAGTAATTATTAGCTCAGGAGTTTTCACAGCAGGTTCTCACCTACTGATTAAACTGAAACTCAAAACCCCAGAAACAAACTGGGGATGGTGCCAGAAAGGCTCGAAGCTAAATCTCTGAAAGAATTAGGAGAGCAAGTCCCACCTGAATCTGAATCGGGCCAAGAATTTGAACGCCTCATCGGTCAGATGCTTTCCCTGGGTTTCATACAGTAAATCAAACGATGCAGTCAATCGTCTTTGTGGATTCTCGGGGATAATTTGGATTTGTTTGTTATGACCTACGAATCTAGATGCATTCAGGTTTTTCAACACACTGCTAAATGTTTCAATACATTTAGTTTACGTCTCCACCCGGATGTTTTTGTCAGCATGTCTGGAGATTTTCAGTTCTTCGTAGCAAAGAAACAGCTGAACGCTAACAGCATCTTTTCATGACGTCAGCGGAGGAACTTCTGTTCTTATCGTTCTGCAAGACGTGACGCTGCATTTGATTGTTGTTGGGATTAAAGCAGCCACACTAGTTTCAGTCACACAAAATCCTGTTTGTTCACATGAACTATGATTTTTCTGTGCACGCTAAAGTTAGTCACTGTGTTTCAGAGAATTCAGGACTGTGACCAGTATATCCCCTCGAGTCAGGATTATCAACGAGGATAAACATACACTTGCGTCTTCCACAAAGACAACAATCTGATGCATTCCTCTATAAAGACGAAGGGAAGAACTTGTCCTGTACACAAAGCTGACGTCTGCGTACCTGCGGCTAAACACCGGAGAAAATGGATGGCTTTGCTCTGTACTCCTGTTCTACTGTGAGGAACCTATACGTTTCACCATTTTCACATTTCACAAAGGATGCTGGGAAACTAGTCCACGTGTGTTTTACCTCTAGACGGGATCTTTTGATTATTATCGTAATTCTTTATGATCTGGATCTTCCAGTAAATCTGTGAGAAGCTTCCAGTTGATCCAAAATGCTGCAATGCAAGTTCTGACAGGAACTAGGCAGAGATCATATTACTCCCATATTAGCTCGTCTGCATTGACGAGTTAAAAAGCCGTGTCCTCACTTAAGCTGCTCTTAGACATGCACCAAGTGACAATGAAAAAGCAAAGAGGAGCCACAAAGCCCTCCGCTTATTATCTTAGATTTATCCGATTACACTTTAAATTATTTCAACACGTTTCTAAAAAGGTAAGTGAATGTGCCTCGATGACGGAGGAAGGGAGAGGAATGTACTGTGGGATATAGAAATTGTCAGCCAGCTATTTTGCACTGTCTTAACCTCTGAAGCAAAAATAACCTGTGTGCTTGTCAAACATCACGTACATCATCAAACATCTTGACGTCATTCGAAAGCAGGTTGACAATCTGGCCCGTGGTGGTCTTTCCCATGGCTACGTTATTGAGACACAGAGACTGGAAAGAGACGAGAATCATCATCAGTGAAGCAGCAACAACACTGAAATCAATACAAATCATCGAGTAAAGCAAAAGGAAAACATGACACAACTGTAAAACAAGACCTCTGAAGCCTTGATGTTCAGAATGAGCAGCTGACCTTCTTGAAGATCATGTGACACAGGGCCACTCGGATCTTCATGCCGACCTTCTGGAGATGGTAGAAGTAGAAGTGATGGAACACCGCCAGGATGATGGCAAACAGAGACAAACCAGCTGCGTAGCCGATGGCGTCGTACAAAGCCCGGCTGTCTTTTGGGTTGTAATATTCAAAGTACTGAATCATCTTCCCCAAGAGGATGGGCTGGGTCACTTTGATGATCTCCTGAGATGTCGGAGTGTAAGGAACAAGAAGATTCATTACTGATGATACCTACAATACTCATCATGGTGAGTTATATGCTTAGGTTGTGTTTCTGTTTTATTCATCTATCAGGCTCTTGTTGGTCTTCTCAACCCCTACGTCCCCTCACAGACTGAACACTGACCTCGAAGACAGTGAAGATTCCCAGCAGTGCGTATGGTTTCCAGTGGCACTGGATGATGGCTCTCCCGAGGTTCGGCGTCCGCATCTCTTTGGAGGCCTTCTGGAGCTCAAGTTCCCAGTATCTGTCGTGTAAAAACGAAGACGTCAAACCTTGCATCCACGTGAGTCAGACTCAAAAGAGACGCTTCAACAAGCAGCAGCAAAGATCCAGTCATGAAATAATATCAAATCATAACACACCAGACTACGTGCACTGGTGGAAGCACAATGAGGTTCAGTTATTGTTGATCAGTGGAGGAATTGTATCCATTAATGTGGGAAACACCACAGCTCCTCTTTTCAAGAACGGCCCAAAAGAAATCTCTTAGCGTAAAAACAGGATTTCATGCTCGCTCCACTGATAACGTCAAATTTCACTGTGGATTTAACGGCTGATGATAAGCGGTGACATTACCACTGATAGACACAGGAAACATCCCTGTTTCAAAAGTTGTATGGAAAACTCGTCTCTCTCGCTTCTAAAGTGAATAATTCTAAAATAAACATCTTTTCCTGAGAGTCTCGTGTCAGACACAACCAGTGAATGTTTGTGTGGTCTCTTAACACAAACACACCAGTGTCTTACTCTTTGCAGGCTGCACCAATTGTAGAATCATAGCTCCAGGGTTTACACATGTTCTCTGACACTGCCTTCCAGTTGTTCTTTATTAGTTCCTTCGTTAAACTTATAAACCTGAGCTGAGTCGTGGTAATGGAAATGATTGTTTGCTTGAGACTGTTCAACTACAGTGGCTTTTATTTTCACCCTGCAGGAGCACAGTGTGCCGCTCAGGGTCGAAGAGCAGGATGAGACCAGAGCCACTGCTGCCAGTTTACCATTAGATGAAACATCACTGTGACGACGCCTGCCTTTTGACCAAGTTTCTAGAAACGACACAATTGCTTTCCCCTTCTCACGCTTCATTAAAACACCAAACGCCAAAGGTCACTTGGACGGACGCCTACGGTGCCACATGCCGTCCCTTAATCAGCTGCAGGAGATTTACGCGATCCTCTTTAAATCCGTCTAAACTATTATAACTGTGGTCTGTAACTTCAAATAACGACTGTTCACTGACTCGCAAAGCATTTTATCTTAGGTTGTGCACAGCTCAGAGATAAGAAGAATGCAGCAAAGTAAGGAAATACCAATGTAGGTGCTGAGTTTAAAGGGTTAAACTTTGCTGTGTGAAACCAGCTAAGACACAGGCCCCTTTTGTTTTGCTTCTTGTTTTCTAAAAAACCCCGAAACATTAACTGAAGTTGTCATGTGTCTTCAGGCCTCTACAAATTCAGACGAAAGCATGGGAGACAAATAATTTTTAGAGCCGTGTTCCAATTGTATCACATTTGTTCAATAAGAGAGTGAGAGAGCTGTTAAATGAATATAAGTGCAGCAGTGATGCTGAGAAAAAGTTACCTCTGCCAGGGAGGTTCTGTTTTCATCGCTGTCTGCAGACTGGAGTTAGAACTCATTACATTTTCAACTTACTCCTGACACGAAATATGCATGCATGCAGAGGCAACAAACACCCGAGGCCCACTTTCATGCCACATTAGACTTGATCCTCTCAGACTTTTTTTTACCAGGAAGAACATGACAATATATCCCCTGTTTGTGGATGTGGGGGATGCATACAGCATCAGCCCTCTGCGCCCGTCGAGGGCGATCTGACCACAATCTGCTGCTTCTTCATTCTCAGAACAAGCCGAGGCTACAACAGCAACCCTCAAACACAGTGGTCTCCAGAGGCAGAGGAGGTTGAGGCTGCTCAGAGTCGACTGATGCCCACGGTCAGGATATTGGAGGGGGTCACGCGCTGCACCGATGACTATCTTGATAAGCTCTGGATCTCCTCAGTAGGAATGAGAGGGTGTTAAACGGTGGAGATCGGGCTGAGCTGAAGTGAAAGTAGGGGAGTCATATAGAAGCTTCAGGTGTGAAAACCATCCCTGGCAGCGAGGAGAAGAACAGCAGAGGGACGGGAGCAAACCAGTTCAACCACTTCAACACCTGAAGCCCCCAAAACACCACATATCAACCACTCCCAGGGAAAAGAGCATGATCCCAGTTTCCAATGAGAACTAAATGACACTCTGCAAAGTGTGGATCTTCTCCGAGACCCAACAGTCCCCAAAACCAGGTCGTATAAAGTATCTGTAACAAGTCACAAACATCATACTGTAATTCCACTTCTCACATACGCCAGAAAATAATGTGTCGTCGTGTTTTCATTCTGCATCATGTGCTGTGATGCCTTGCTTTACAGATGGGGCAGTTGTTACGGAAGCAGCTGCTCCGCCAGCAACTGCGTGGTGGACGTGCTGTGATTTGAAAGAAGTTAATCTCAAGCGATTTGTGTTTGGTGACTGTGTGTTTCATTCTGGAAGCCGGTTGAGATATCCACTGATTAGGACACGTCTATAATCTCCTGATCAAGAGCAACTGACTGGGACGTTCTCACACACAGACTTTGAAATAAGTCCGAGCCATACCTCTGCATTTCTTGACCCAGTGCCACAGAACTGTCCTCCGGGACCACCCGGAACATGTCCTCTTCCTCCAGCCTGCGTTTGTATCCAGTGCGGAACAGAGGGTTGAGCCACCTGAACGAGGAGGTTGGAGGAGAGGAAGACGGAGAAAAGGAGATTGTGGCAATATGTGATTTAATGCATGAGTTATTTAAATTTCACAAGAGTACAGAATATAATAAGAATATAAGAAGGTATGCAAGTCAATATAGGAACGGCTGGAGGAGCCATACATGTGGAATAATATAATAAATGATATAACTGGCATACATGCAGAGCAAAGTAGTTGGTGGATGGAGATATTTTCTTATTTCTGTGTTTTAGCACCAATGAATGCAATAACAATGTGATATAAACACGAGGAGGTGTAAATGTACTATATAACTGGAGCAGAAGAAATACAGACAGGAAATATTCATCTCATCGTGTCTGCAGCTGGAAACTCTTCAGACGTTTGCTCTCATGTAAACAACAAACAGAAAGTGACGGTGAGTTCATTTAATCTTAAACTCGTTTCGAGACACGAGGATAACAGAGTTTGTTTCGTCCTCCGGTGCAGGGTGAAGTCACGGAGCTGCACGTGTTCGTTACAAAACTCGATCTCATCCGCGGACTCCGGATTCAACAGGAAGCCGAGGTTACATAAACACGGCGTCTTGGATACAGATGTTTCCACGTGTGGACCTCTGTCAGCGGGAACCGATCACACCGGCGTCGGTGGATTTCTCTCGTGTTTGAATCCCGCGCTGACTCCAGCTAACGTGATCCACGAACTCACCAGAACAAGATCTTCGACCAAAGACCGGCCGTGATCGTCGGGTTGGTCTTGGCATCCTTGCCGACTTTCTCCATGTTGGCTCCTCCAGGGGGCAGCGGGCTCTCCTCGCTTCTCGGCCCGTCTGGCGGCTGTTGCTCCGGGCTGCGCGGCGTCTCTCTCACCGGCGGGTCACCGGGAACCGGAACCTTCAAGGTGTGTTACGTGTTTCTCAGAACCAGAGAGGTACAGGCACCGCTGGACCTGGGGACACGCCCCTCGCGCTCGATTGGCCGGAACCGCACCAAGTCTCTCCACGTGATTGGCTGCGCCCTCTGCTCATGTTTCACGCGATTGGCTCAGAACCGATGGGCGGGTCCTGGAGGTGAGACGTAAACAAACAAGTACACAAACAAACAAACAAAAACAAAGGAACACAACACACAAGATACACAAGTTTAAAACCTCCACCAAAGATATAGAATCTAAATATTACAAGATAAGAGATTCAACAGAACCAGTGATATTTATTCCACATGCTCTATAATCTGGGGCCTTTATTTCCCACAATGCAACTCAACCACTGACACTTTGGTCCGTGGACTGTAAATAAAGATGGACGACATGACAGCTCCCCACAGATGAAGCCAAAACATCTCGATCGCCCCCTGGTGACTGGCTGCAGTATAGGTCCTGAACACAGCCTCCTCCATGTTAGCGGACGGCCTCTTACCCTTTGCAACGTCTGTCTGATTTTAATAATTCACTTATTTCCCCTGATTTTTTTTTTTTTGTGTTATTCCACTTTGGTAACACCATAATTCAACCACTTTAATTTCCTCTGCACCTTTAATTTCACCCTCACTGTTGTTTTCTTCTCTTTAACGTCTCCCCCTCCCAGCGTATCTTATTTATCCCTGTTTGTTCTTGTACACTCAGCCTCTTCCTGTGTAAGTAAAGGCTCGTCACCAGTTACGGATTTTGTCGTAAGCGCACACAAACACACATGGAGACAGTTGCACTGGTAAGAAAGGAAACAGACACACACTCACACAAAGTCATCGCTGTCTGTTTACGATTTACCGAAAAAACGAGTGTGTGGGTCAGCCTTCGGGGGAAACTCCTTCGCCATCAGAGTTCCGAATGTCAAATCTCGGAACTCTGACATCACGAAGAGTGTTAATCAGTAATGAGATCACACACACACACACACACACACACACACACACACACACACACACACACAGGACGCGATGGACATCCTTTGTTTCTCTGTGGGAAAATAC